TATGGTAGCGGTATGAAGTGACGAGTCAGGGGTGAGAATATTCCGTGTTTTGTGTTTTGATAAACGACCTCCGGAGAATTAAATTCCCCCAACCCCGGAGCTCACCCGGTCGCCGTCCCGGTGGAACCAGTTCGGGTGGTCCCGGTGGTTCCGGTGGTTCCCCGTTCCCCGATTGCCGATTCCCCCGACCCCCCTTACCCCCTTCCGCACAGATCCATCCGTCTCCCCCGCGGCCGCGTTAACTCTCGACAGTCGTAACTCGAGCAACGCGGATTAATCCGTTCGCTGATCTCGCTATCCGCGAAATGACGAGGGCGCCCTGGGGCCGTGGCCGTTTCCCTATTTTCCCCTCGTTTTTTCCTTTTTTTTCCCCCACTCTCCGCTGATTTTTTCTCCGTTTTTTTTTTTGTTGAACCCATCACCGCGCGTCTCGCGCCGCTGCAACTAGCCTCTGGCTCGGAACAAGTATTGTCCCGGCTCCGAAAAACACCCTTTAAAATCGGGGCCGCCTTAATGGGCATCGGGAGAGATAAACCGAGGCCTCTGGCTTCGTCGTTCTTTATTCCACCTGGATTTATGTCGGCAGATTTGGGAGAATCTCGCGCCCCGAGTGGCGCACTCGTGGTCTCGCGAGAAAAGATTACTTCGCCGCGCTAATGAGATTTATTCTCCCTGGAAAGTCTCCGCCAACCCTTTGGGCACCTCGAGACCTCTTTCGACACCTCGATCTGGGGTGCTCCAAACATTGTAACGCGACATCTCTCGAATGAGCGCGAAGTACCCCTTGAAGGGACCCCCTTAGTGGTAAAAAAAAATTAAATCAATATTCGGAATTATAAAACCCTGGCTTATTAATTTCTAACTTTCTGGATATATTTAATGGCGAATCGTTATAAAAATTGAATGTGGCGAGCAAGGGTCACCTTGCGGCGCGCTTTGTTGAATTTCGGGGTAACAATGCAAAGTGTACTCAGTAAATACCAATAAATCGACTAATAGTAACTCGGCAATTTATTGCCTGGAACTTGCATGCCTGATGACCGTCGGTCAGTTTTGGGTCAGCCATTTGTGTTCATTGGGTACACATTAAAGGTACACACACCACCGCCGTCCTGCATTCAACTGCGCAAATTGGTCAGAATTATTTCGTTACCCCTTTCGCGGGACTTTTGCGACCTCGATAATCGATTACCCCGAAATCAGGCGTGAATTGTACGGTCGCTACATTTTTAACCAGCCTTCGGTGCACATAGGTACGACCTCCTGGCTCTTGCGAACGCGACGCCTCCCATTTCAGAACCTCATTGGACAGGTAATGCGATTAAATGAATTAACGCGAATCGCCCTGCATAATTCGGACGAATGGGCAGTATACATCGCAATAAATGTTCCTCGGTTTGCAGCATTCCGATGCACCCTCGCTGCACTTTTCCGGGCTGGATTAACCGTAGGAATGCGCGGCAAAAATTAAACGTTAAACGCGGAAATTGAATGCGACAAATGGAATATGTTGATGCAAAAGAGCGGAATGAAAGCGAAATTTGGAAATTGGACATTCTCGAGATGTCCCCGATTTCGAACTTCTCTTTTTCGCTCCTATCCCCATCCTTCCTGGATACAAACAAAGGAAAGGTAATATGCTACAGCGGCGGAATGAATTTCCGGTGAAAGAACTGCAACGTTTATTTAACCGTGCCGGGGAAATAATTTCCGCGCCCGGCGAAACAAATTTTCCGCGATACCTGCCGCACCCCCCTCGCCGGTTGTTCGTTCTTGTAACGAACCGGCGTAACCAATTATAAGAGCCAGGTGGTACGAGATGCTGCCTTAACGAATTCATTCGCGAACTTACCTCCGGAATAACGACGCGTATCGATCTTGCTCACGCAGGGTAACACTGCAAATTTTATTTATTAATTGCACCGTCGCGCTCTCACCCCCTCGGTGAGGGTCGCCTCTTAACGAGTCCGTTTTCAGACATGGTATAATTTTTCACCGTCACTCGAGAACGTTACGATGTTTCCACTTATAAGAAACTCGACAGAGTTCCACGCCAAATACATACCCGAGAAAAAATAGTATATACGATCATATGTAATTCTGTATAATCATGAACTTTTTCGTATGCGGTTATTTAGAATTGCATATGATCAAGACATAATGGTGTCTGATCAGGTATGGAACGAATATTGTTTATATACTATCAAATGTAGTATCAGATGTCATCATATATGGATGCCTACGTGACCAGATATATTCTTATTCATATATATCAGTCTCTATTTTCAGTGTTTGCAGATTCGCGGGCCGCAAGCGTGGCCGAAAATCCTGGCCGGATCGGCGGCCTAGTCGGTCGTTAAGTCAATGGACTCGCGGAAGGGCGCCAATAAAGCGATTTATTAACGGCGAAATTGGCCCGCCGGCTGGCGGTCCTTCGCTCGGTTAACTCGACCGGTGTTGCGGCCCATGCAAAAATCGGTCCCCCGAGCAGTTTTATTCCGCCCTCGTCCTTTGTTCGCCCCTAATTTCCCGCCCGGGCGTCGGGCTAACGACGTTCCCCTAACTTCGCCACTGTAACGCGAGGTTAGCGAGAAACGGCCCCGAAAACTTCCGAATCGTGACGAACGCCGCTTTGCTCTCGATACAGGCCTTCTCTTCGGCATCGATTGCCGATATGGAATTGACTTTCCGCTGATAAGATCGAGGAATCCTTCCAAGTCCCTCGGATGAAGGAGCTCAGGACTTCCTATCCTATCGTTATCCTGAAAAGTTCCACACCTTTCTGCCTACAATCTTTTGTTCCTTACACGCGTTCATCAGACGGATATAACATATTTTATGTTATAATCTCACGGTTCATTATTTATATGCATCTCGCGTCGATATTGAAATGAATTGAGCGAGTGATTTAATTAGCGTTAGTTGTCCTTTCGATTAAAAAGTTGACATTTAAGGAAAAACTGGAGGAAGAAAGTGGTTAAGTTTTCACGGTGCGTCGTGATTGTGTAGTCTTTACCTCACTTTTATTTGATTTTAGAGACGACTTTGTCTATATCTCTTAGAATAATCCTCCTTTCTTCGAGGTTGGGGTCGAGTCCGTGTACATGTGGAACGCGAGGTCGATGCGTTTGGTCACAGCCTGTGAGGCAAATTTGCGTACGCAGATCGAAGGGACGGCCGGCTCCGTAAATATGGACACTAACTGTATCCGCGTGTATCAATACGGCTATTTGCAAATACGCCGCACCATGGACTCCCGTAACTGTCGCCCTCGTTAAACGGGCCGACGAGCCTCTTACTTTTGACTGGCCGCCGATGAAAAAACGGACGCTACGGATACGACGAAGAGCCGGAAAGGCAGGACGAATGTTGATTTCCGTACATAAACAAGCTCGTTCAATATTGAACTCGCACTAAATCACGCCATTACGCGGCGTCGTTAAGCTCCATCAATAGCGCTGCTTGTGATTTATGAATTTCTGAATTCCTGACTCGTCCGATTGACCATTCTAGAAATGGACGCGCGACATGTGCAATAATTTCGAAAGCCATCCAGGTCTCGATGAAACATCCCTTTGATCTCTTCTTTCGTTTTCTCTGGGTTTTTCTCCTGAATGGACACTTTTTAAAAATCCAAAAGAAATGCAGATTTCTTTTGAGGTCCCGGAAAACGACCATGGTGTCGATTTCCCTCCCGCCCCCCTTTTTTTCAAGATCATCGGGCATGGAGCCAATCCGCAAATGTCCCGGGACTCTTGGCGAATCGGCGAATTTTGCAAATGGGTGACCATTTCTCTGATTAATTCGCCCTGCCGTGCTCGCCCTCTATCACACCTCTGATTAAAGTGAGTCGGTAGAGTGATTTTCGCGCACGCTGCAGCGGCTATTTTTTCCCTCCCTTTTTCCCGGTCGAAGTTTCGGATTCCACTTTTAGTGATATCATTTCGGTCGCACGTGTTTCAGATTCGATTTCAATTAGGACGCGCCGAGAAGTACGATAGATTCCAAATTAACTGTTGCGACTGCGGCCGACTCGAATAACCGATCGGTCGCGTTTTTGGCTCTAGATGGACTAACGAGCAATTTTTCATAGTCCAATACCAGGTAATCTGCAATGCAAAGATCATTAAAAAGTAACGGGCCCTTGGGTAAGGACGACTCTCGATGTCCACCTGAAACCTCGGAAATTCATCGCGATCACTTTCCTCCCCCCTTCCCGTTCCTCCACTTCTTTCTTTATTTTATTACATTCATTTATTCCCTTGCAATTTTATCACGTTTATTCCATTTTCTCTTCCATTAAATTCAATGAGATGCACACAATTGATGCACAAAATGGAGAAATTTCTCATGGAAACGTCGAAGGTCTTTCTCTCCTGCATCTCTACTTGTTCCCTGACATGCCTCATTTTTGCAACAACTCGAATCGCCCTTGTTCCTTTCTCGTGATTAGTGGCATCGTACAATCCGCTCGTTTACGCAGCATCCGCGGGGCGGAAAAGGAGAGAGATAGCGGAACCTCGACCAACGTTGCCTGCAGCCCAGCTCCAGGTGCACGCGAGAGCGAGTTTTATTAATTATTCCCGCAGACGGTGAAAAATTGAATTTTTAACAATGCAATCCGCCGCTGAGCACGACCGGTTCGCGAAACCGCGACCAGGCGTCGGTCGGATTTGCGGAGAAACGTCAGCGGTATCGATTTCGATATACGCGCACTTGCGTGACTGCGTGTGCATGTACGCATGTACATTCATGTATGCACACTCAGCCAGAGGAAAAAAGTTGAGCGGTATCGAAAAATAATTGCTCTAACTCTGTTAACGCGAACAATTTACGTGAAACATTCGGAGTAAAAATGGACCCCCCGCGGACTATAATACACCCTGCGCTCCTATTTAGAAGCGCGTAAACACATTTCGGCCGCGTTTCGTTTAAAAAGTGCTATCGACCGGGAACAAATAATTCGATACGAGGGTTAAAGTTATAATCATTATTTGCAGTTTGCGAGGGGATCCAAAAATTCGAGGAGACCCCACAGTACACGGAGGTCAACCCCGGCCAAGACGCGAAGCTCATCTGCCGCGTCCTGGACAAACGGGGACAGTGCATCTGGCAAAAGGATCAGAAGGTTCGTACATCCTTTTTTTTATAAATTCCAGAGTAGACCCGAAGGTCCCCAAATGCCCAGTTAAATATATACATTCGCACGTTAAGAAGCGGGAACGTATAAGAAAAGAAAACGGAATTATTTCTTATAGATATAATTACTATTCGCATTCACCTTTATGCATTGATATTAAACGTTTTCGATGGTACTAGTAAGTTATCCTCTCGGTTAATCAACATTTATTCCCGTGAATAAAAAAGGGGATCCATTTCCACAGTGAGAAAAAACATTCGTTAAACCAAAGAAATATTTCGTTAAGTTCAAGAATAATTATTTGACTCAAATAAATTGTCATAATTCCGAATAAATGTTGCATCCAATTTATTCCAGTTTATTTGAGTCAAATTATTATTTTTTTAATGAACGGAATATTTCTCTGGTTCAATATTTTGTTGACAGTGCACCGCGCGTGGGGGCCAAGCTCCCATTTTTATATGTGTATGTGCGATTTGCAGTCGATAATACAAGATCCCTTCTTGCCGTCCTTGTGTAATTGATATATCGCGTCGATGCGGCATCGCATCCTTTCCGCGATTGTCCAGGCCTTGAAGAGGGCGCAAAAGTTCCTCTCGACATGCTGACTAGGACTCGCAAAGTTGGGCCGGACTTGCGGGCGCTCCGGCCGATAAATTTGTCGGCGAGAATTCAAAGAGACACGTCCGAGCGCCCTACCGAACTTGGATGGAAACTTCGGGAAAGTCGAGGCCCGTCGATAGAGAACGCGGCCGAATCCTCGTCGAGGGGGGCAAGGAAGGGAGGCTCATGTAGATTCGAGAGTCCCGGAACTCTCGAAGGCCGTGCGACATTTACCGAGGGGTGCGGGAAATGGGGAGAAAGTTTTCCGAGGGGATGCACTTCACGTGCCGGCGGTGTCTCGGGTCCGGCGAGTCCGGACCCTCCTTGATTGAAGGTGAGAGGGGCGCCAGGAGTCCACAGGAGGGTGTGGACCTTTTTCAGGGGACCCTCCACCCGATGCTACTGGACATTGTCTTTCGCGACACGCGCTCGTTCCCTTCGGGGCTATTAATCGAACCGCCGATGGGGTGGTCCAGAGTCCCCGATAGAGATTTTTAGAGAATGGTTCCATAGACTCTGGAATAAACCGGGGGAAAGTTCCACCCCAGCCGACCTTGAATTTTCCCGTTCCCCTCCCGAAATTTATACTATCTTCTTCCGGGTAAGACAAATCTTTAAAGAATCGAAACAAATGGAATGAAGGTGATAAAGAGATTTTTTATTAATCTTTCTGTTCTGCCCCCTCGAACGTTAAACCCGATCGACTCAAACGTGTGATTCAATTATTACAAAAATTCGCAGCCTTGATGACATCGACCTTAGCGGTTCAACCCCTTCCTATTATCACCCGGACTGACAATCGGCTTCGTTATCATCCCCGGCATTAATTCGTCGAGAACTCGCAGACGCTTCTTCCTCTCGTCTCGCTCATAACCATCTTTCCCTGTAATTAAGTTCTCCCGGTCTCTCCGGTCTTTCTCGGCCGAAGACCGGAGAAAGACGGAGCGAACGAGGGAGACGCGAAGTCTGCGCGTAATATGCAACGACCGAAAGAGCGGATGAGTTTCTTTCTCCGGGAAAGTCGAGCAATCAATCGCCCTCCAGTCTCCTTTCCCGGTCTTTCCTCCGCAATTGGAGGGGCGTCCGCGCGTCGGAAGCTGCTCCCCCGGGAGGCCCCGTCTCGTAAATCCCGATGTAATCGAAGTGACTTCCAGGCGGGCCACTTCGCGGAAGCCCCCGAGGAGGCCCGATGGCTCCTTTATGTCCTCGATGGAAAGCTCGATGATTAACGGGGGTCGATTGATATAGCAACGCCGTTTTTCAGGGACCCTAGACTCTCCTAGAGCTTCCGAACAGGAGTTGGACTCCGACTTCGGCCAAGGGTCTCCGAAACTGACTCCATACACGGCCGGAGATTACCAACGATGCAGTTTCTCGTTATCTTTCGGGCCGAACTCGGAAATTGTCCGAAACTTTGGCCGCTCACCTATCTGCGCCGGGAGGACGATTAGCCATTAAGAAAATGGTAATTCGACGGCGACCCCGGATCCTCCCGTGAACATTTTCCCTGACAAATTCTAATATCGCATTCAAAAATTACCTAAATATTAATTTACCTAAATAAATTCGCGGTGGTACCATTGTTACCATGGGTTTATTTAAATTTGGCAGCAATAAGAAACTGAAAATTAAGGAAGGGTTGATTTCTCTAGAGTGACCTCTTTGAACTATAAAAGAATCCCTATATATGTCTTGTTCCGATGTCAAAAGTTGAAATTAAATATGAAAGACCGTAAAATGGCGCCGATAAGACATCGATAAGAAGGCCGACACCACTCCTGTTCAATTTAATCTCTGCAAGGTGAATATACCGGACCTTCCGGGACGGAAAGTAATTCAATGGACCAAAGATTATAGGAGAAAGAAATGGGGAAAAAAGGGAGAAGAAATAGAGAAAATGGATAAAGCCGGCCATGCCTGCATTGAAAGTAGAGCACCGCGGCCAAGTATTCCGGATTTACCCGGTGCAAAGATCTAAGGAGGAGTAAAAAAGAGCGGAGCGGAGAGGCTGCGCTATTAAAGTCGAGCGGTCAATCGGTCTCTCAGGCTTCAGGAAACCCGTGAACCGGAAGCGGGGCATCCAGAGAAGCTCCGTCCGGAGTGCGCCTCGTAAATCCCAGGGTAATCGAAGCGATTCGCAGGGCGGGCTACTTTGCGAGTGCCCGGGAAGAAGGATGAAGGCTCCTTTATGGCCTGCCCAGCCGATGATCAACGGGTCCAATTAATATAACGATACTGCCTTTAGGAGCCAGAAAGGTCCGCCGATCATTGATGGAAACTGTACCGTGCTCGAACATTCGGCCGGCAAAGGACGAGTTTGCAGGGGGTCCTGGAAAGATGGAAGGAATTCCGCGGCGTCTCCAGGAGGATTTTTTAAACCGACCTGGAGGTACGTGCACGATCGTATCGCCGGTTCTTACATTTTCTACGAACCGGAAAAGGAAGTCCTTGGGGGCCTCCGTCTTAAAGTACGTCCTCGTAAATCCCAATGTAATCGAAGCGACTCGCGACAGGCCACTTTGCGAGGAGCCGCTTAAGGGAGGACCGAAAGCTCATTTAAGTCCTCGGCTGAGGGCAGGAAGTGATCAAGGCGTCCCGTTAACCCAATAACCCTGGCCATTAAGTATTAACCTTATTTAAACATCCTCCAAGCCGAATTGTCTCGGTCGGTCGGCCGCGGCCCAAAATGGGCCGCTTAGGAGAGTCCCCTTCTAATTTCCCTTAAGCAATTATTTGCGGAGTGGAAAGTCCACTCGAACGGAAGAAAATTGCTCGGCTACCGTTTAAATATTTGCCAGTATTTAAACGGAGTCTGTACGATCGTCCATTCTATGCGAACGAGACATGGATCTAGAAATAAAGGAGCGCAGCAGAAGGTTAGATTTCAGACGAGGGGACCAAAGCTCGACATTTCCGTTGCCAAGCACGCATACGCGATCTCGAATATTCGAGACCAATGGCAACCATAGGGTACATATGGCGCCTTTTTTGGAGTACAAGAGAGCACGTGCCAAGAGGTATAAAAATTCAAAATGCCGAAAACCCCTATTCCTTTCTTTTTGGATCCATAGTCGTCCCTCGTAGCTTCTGTCTCTAAGGTTTCCATAAGCAACCCCCGGGCTTGGGTACGCCCAACAATAGAAAATTGCCCTACCCGGTAATATCGGAAGGGAAAACTCTAAAAAAGAGGAGTCGCAGAAATCTCGGTTTAGTCTCGCGGCCCCGTAAATCGTGGTAATTGAAGCCGCAACGTCCGCCAAGGTATCCTCGACAATGTAAAATTTCCGGCCTCGGTAATTTCAGAAGAAAAAACTCTGACAACAAGAAGTCGTAGAAATCTCGTTTTAGTCTCGCGACCTCGTAAATCGCGGTAATCGAAGCTACCCCCTGAGGATCCTCTTCCTCCTCCTCCTCCTCGGGGAGGTCTCCTTCGCGACCTCCCCGCAGGGAGGAAGGAAGGCGACTGACGCGGCTCGGGCGGCGCGCGGGGCATCGATGTCGGTCATAAATTTCAATCAGCAGGGTTTTAAAAAAGCAACGCCGAGCACGTCGCCCCCGCCCCGCGGATTAAACCCGGAGCAGCTCGGGGGCAGCTGCGCGGCCATTACGCCCGCCCCCGGGGGCTGCGCCCCCCCGGAAGCTCCGCGATTCCCCCCCGGGAGCAACCCTCGCGGAAAGCAAGCTTTCGCAGCTCGCCGCCTAAAAGTCATAACTTTTATGCTTCCCTCGGTGCGGCTCGCGCGCGCCGTAAAACGGGCCGCGTTAAAAATGCGGCAAACGCGGCCTCTTAAATAAAATTCAAGTCGTTACAACGCCTCGGGTGAAAGAAAAGCTCGCGAGCCACTTTGAAAGCCGCTAGACCGGTCGTCGCTTTGCACGTACGGCCGCGAGGCCGTGGATGAAACGCGCCGGCCCGCTTGAGGGGAAATCTTTTTACTCCACCCCAAGAGGAGCTTAATGCGATCCCACCAGGAGGCGCCACGGTGCGCGGTGCGCTCTTCACCGGCGCCCTAACCTCTTTTGTCTGAGACCGACTCTTCCCGCTAAGGCCTCTGGCTGTCTACCCGGTACTTAAGACTTCTTCCAAACTTCTCGTATAAGCACCGCTTCCCTTATAATTCCCCTTGTTTCCGCGATAATTGCATTCGTCGCGTTATCGGAGTGCCTTGCCACCTCTAACTCAGGCGCCGGAAGATTAGCTACGCGTATAAACAGGGTGGTCCAGAATTCCTGGTAATCTCTGAAACTGGGGGAATTTCCTAGGATTTCGAGTAGGGACGCGACGATTCGAATAAAACTCACCGCGTCGACCTGGAATTCTTAGACATTGCAAACTTGAGTTTGGACTCAAGTCAAGGGAGTCTTGGCTGGATGTTACAAGGTGT